CGAAGCTTTGTGAACAACTTCCAAAGTCCGCTGAGCCTGCTCCACCAAGTCCCAATACTTGGGAGACACTGCTTCTTCAGTTCACTCAGGGAACCCTGAATTACTCACCTGCTTTTAAAAAAATGAAACCGCCTTTTACAATTTAGGATTCTAATTTGGAAGAGGAATAAAAGCACAAATTTTAGAGAAGACCATACTACATAAATGTCTGGAGGAAGCATTTAGCATCCTGCAGTGTTGAAAGAGAGCTCGCTAGCCTGGATTCAAATATGTATCAGACACTAACAAAAGACATTCCAGACGGTGAAGACGAAATACCTTTTAAACAAATTAAGTTAAATTGCTTCAAGTGCATGAAAAGCTCCCCAGTCAGGTTTACTTCAGTGCAGCTACACCACTGGGGGAGGGCCTTCGTGCCCACGCGAAGATAATGGCATCTAGCATCCAGCTCAGTTTCTGTCTTCCCGAAGTCGAGACGTGTAATAGCGAAGCCAAAAGCCAGACCACCGAGTGCACTGTTTCATTTACATACTTTTCTCTCAAACACACCCACACAACAGAAATACAACTTCAGTAGGCCAGTGTTGTGGCACTGCGGGTGGGGCTGCCGCCTGGACGAGGCATCCCAAATGGGAGCCAGTTTGAGTCCCAGCTGTTCCCTTTCTGATCGAGCTCCCTGCTCCACGTGCCTGGGAAAGCAGTGAAGAAGGCACGAGTGCTTGGGTCCCTGCCATCCAGGCTGAAGACCTGGGTGAAGCTCCTGCTCCTGGCTTCAGCCTGGCCACTGCAACCACTTGAGGAGTGAACCAGATGGAAGATCTTTCTCTTTCTCTCTCTCTCTGCCTTTCACACAAAAGAAGGAAGGAAGGGAAATACAACTTCAGAACAGGAAACAGTCTCCACATGCATCAGGGGCTGGAGGGTCGAGGAGGGTCTGTTCGGCCATCTCTCTCTGATTGCCAAAGACTCTCCAAAACTCCAATCACTGGCTTCAACCAAAAAATCACCAAGTGACTGAACTTGAGTGAGCGTGTTTCAGAGTTCATTCATCCAAACGAGTGGTGACGCTGTAACAGCGGCACTACTTCTCACTGCTAACAAAACCAAGGAGACATTTACCCAGCAGGGACGCTCAGCCAGGCCCGGCTGCCCCCTACAGGGCAGCTCTCGTGACAAAGCCACTTAGCGCTGAGGCATTTGAAACTGAACAGAGCCAAAGTGGAAGTCCAGATTTTGGAATGAGAGGGGTCAGTCCTCTCATTCCAACTTTACCTGATGCCTTGGATGACTCCTTTTCCTCCACAGTTTCCTTCCTCCTCTTTCCACACACAATTATGTGGGGACTCACAAGTGTCAAAAGTGAAATGCACAGAAATCAAGTGACTTGTCCAGTTCCTACAGCGCGAAGTTGCAGGACAGGATCCCAAGCCAGGCCTGGAACCTCAGAGCCCTCAGCACCCACCTTCCCCATCCTGTCTTGCGAAGGCAGCATCCAAGGCAGGTGGGACACTGCTGCCACTACCAGGAAGCAGCCTGACATTGAACTTGAAGAAAGGGCTTCTGGAGTCAGCCACACCTGGGCTCCAATCCCAACTCAGTGACTTCTTGTGAGCTCTGGGCAAATAGCCCACGCTCTACCTCTCTACAATGGGTACAATATCACCTCTCCCTCAGTGATGTCACAAAGTTCATTTAAAAAGAAAAGATTTATTTAGTTTGAAAGGCAGAGTAGGGGTGGAAAGAGAGAAAGAGACCCCGAGACCAACCTTCCATCAGTGTTTCAATCCCTAAATGGCCACAATAGCCAGAGCTGACTCAGGCCGAAGCCAGGAGCCAGGTGGTGGGGGTCCAAGTACTTGGGTCATCTTCCACTGCCTTCCCAAGCACATTAGCAGGGAGCCGATCTGGAAGCAGAGCAGCTGGGATTCAAACAGCACTGTGCATTGGCATATTGCTGTGCCACAACACTGGTCCTTGTGATAGTTTAATAAGACAATAAATTAATTTTGAAAAATGCTTAGGCTGATGAGCACATACTCCAAGTCCCAACTGGAAGTTATGATCTTTGGGACAGCTGGGATATATACTTCTACACATATTCAACTCAACCAATTGCTTTGCAAATTTCCACACAGTAGCTAAACACTGTCCACTGAGCAGGCAATGACTTGGAATCTGGGCTGGGCTGGTCCATGCTCCTCAGGTCACTGGAATCCCAGTGCAGGGTGATATACCCTCCGTTCCAAAGGCAGCCTGGTTATCCACCAGCTTTCAGTGCTGCCTCTTCAGGGCAGCCCTCAGTTCAGGCTGCTGTCTCCAGTGACGACACAGTGGGCCCACAGTAGTGCACCAGAAGGAGCTGGTGCTGAAAAATGCGAACAGCACCAAGAAGCGGGACTCCAAGTGGCCCTCAGCTCCCCATGGCACTTTGAAACCTCCAAAGTCACCAGGCCACAGTGCCAGAGACAGGACTGCTGCATCTATATTTATAAGCTTCTCAAAAATTCTTTTATTTATTTTCAGGGCCATTGTTGTAGCACAGCAGATTAACCTGCTGCCTGTGATGCCTGCATCTCATGAGTACAGGTTCAAGCCCCAGCTGCTCCACTTCTGACCCAGCTCCCCTCTAATGTGCCTGGGAAAGCAGCGGAGGATGGCCCAAATACTTGGGTTCCCGCCACCCATGTGGGAGACCACAACTAAGTTCCAGGCTCCTGGCTTTGGCTTGGTCCAGGCCTGGCTATTGCAGCTATTTGGGGAGTGAACCAATGGATGGAAGATCCCTCTCTCTTTATAATTCTGCCTTTCAAGTAAATAAATCTTAAACAAACAAACCAAAAAAATTGCTTATTTTCATTTATTTCAAAGGCAGAGAGAGAGAGAGAGAGAGAAACAAGCAAGCTTCCATTCTCTGGTTCATTCTTCAAATGCTCACAACAGCCAGGAGCCTGGAATTCCATCTAGGTATCCCACATGGGTGGCAGCAACCCAAGTACTTGAGCCATCACTTGCTACCTCTCCCAGGGTGCACATGAAGCTCGAACTGGGAGTTCAGCTGGGACTAGAACCCAGGCACTCCAGTGTGGGATTGTGGGATGTGGGCATCACAGGTGGCATCTTATCTGCTACACCAAAATCCTACCCTTGGATTTGTATTTACAAGAAACAAAAAAGTGTCACAGCAAATGTGATCTAATGAACACTCTCAGCCATTACTGACTGATGAGTTCTTGCTATTACGGCTTCTCTCTTGGCAAGGACCCAGATGGGACCACTTCTCAGCTAACAGGTGGCCTATTTATTATTCCATAGGGTTAGCAGGAATCCCAGATTTTCTGAAGGAGAATGGAATAATAAAAACTTTATTTTAAAGCATTACAGAATGAACACTTAGTGCATAAATGGATAACCAGCCAATCTGCCCACATTTCATTTATGTTCTGTGGGTAAAAGAGCAGAATGAGTGATAAATCTAAAAAGAACTCTCATTTGAGAAGCCTCATTTCTATAAAGTGAATTGTAGGCGGCTAACCTTTATGCCACTCAAACTCAAGTGGCTGTGTTTTTCCAGTTTTTACCCTACAGAAGATAGCAAATAAGCAAGTTCTGTCTTGATTCAACTTGTACAAGGGCTTTGACGTTATAATTTGCTGCTTGTAATATGTCTGATGTGACAAAAGTAGCAGTACAAATTCAGAAGTCCCCTTGTAAACATGCAAATGTACAAGGTAAAATGTTGGTAAATGGTATTACGGACTGGCAGAGGGATGAACAACTTCCCCCGTGGGCACTCACTGATCACTGCGCTGTGTGCTAAGGAAAAATACAACTCTAGATTCAGAATCTCTCTGCTCTCAAGAGGTGCCCTGAAGGTGGCAGAAGCCCTTAAAAAGCTCCTGAGAGGGGCTGATGTTGTGGCGCAGCAGTTAGGCCACTCCTTGCAATCCCTGCATCCCATATTAGAGTGCTGGTTCCAGTCTGAGTTACTCTACTTTGCATCCTATTTCCTGCTAATGTATCTAGGAAGGCAGTGGATAATGGCCAAGTACTTGGGCCCGTGCCATCTATGTGGGAGACCAGGATGGAGTTTCTGATTCCTGGTTTCAGTCGAACCCAGCTTGGGCTATTGTGGCCATTTGGGGAGAGAATCAGCAAATGGAAGATCGATCTCTCTCTGTCTTTCCCTCTGACACTCTTCCTTTCAAATACATAATTTTAAAAAAATTTAAAAAGCCCCTAAGAAGAGAAAGCAGGGAAAACCTTAGTTGAGACTAGTCTCCGGGCAGTTAAGGGAAGATAAGCCAGCATGACACAAGGGCTAAGGGAATAGAGGCACGAGGAAACTGAACTTGACTCAAACTCCTGATGTTCATATCTAATCTGCAAACACTGAAAATTTAAAGTGTACCATTTTCTTGGTCCCAAGAGTGCATGTGTTTCTTTTGTTTATTTTAGTTTCCCACTATATTTCTATTGAAGTTAGGATTTTAGCTCAGGTTAAAATTAAGCATTATTCTGGGTTATAATCAACATAATTTGGCTTCAGCTGCACACGGACAAAATCCTACAAAAGGAGTGGGGAAAACATACTCAAAGGAGAACTCACAAACCGAGAATTACTCTTAATAAACACGGTGTCTTCTCTCAGGGAAAATCAAACTGTCGAGCTATGTTATTTCATTAATCCTCATGGCTCTGGTGCAGAAGCCGGAGAAAGATCTAGTCCTGTGCTGCTTCTGCACACATTCTTGAGCTCAAAATGTCGGTGCACTGCTGCTGTTTGTTATTTTTTATTTAGGGCTCAGAAAATAACCCAAGGAAAACCTGAAGGACACAAAAAACATAGGGGTGTGAAAGGCAAAAAAAATAAATAAATAAAAATAAAAAGATGTAAATAACATCAATGTCACGGACGGCAGAGATCGAAGCAGGAGTCAGCAGAGACCCGGGAAGCAGTAAGGGAGGGTGGAGATGGGGGACGCGGCTGCAGGGGCCTCTACCTGCCATGTTGGCCTGGCTGGTCCCCAGGGCTTGAAGGATCAGCTGCAGCTCCCTGACCACAGTCGCAGCCTCCTCTCCGCAGGACAGGTCAGGCTCCAGGACCACCTCCAGAAGGCCCACTCCTACGGAAGACAGCCAGGGTCAGCTTGGCTGCGGCGCCCCAGCGTCTTCAGCAGCCCAAGGAGGTTCACATCTCGTGGAAGGCCTCTCACAGCAGTTCCAGCCTCTGATTCTTTCCCTCCTCCCCTCCCACTTTTCGATTCATAGCTTTGGTTCATTTCTTTTTATGTCTGCTTATGATGGCTTGCTGCTGGGGTGGCGACTAGGTGGGCAAGTCTGACTAATCCTAGTGGTGAATTACTAGCAAGGTCCGTAGTAGTCACAGTTCAAGCAGTGCTCTCTAATCAGCTACGCCAACACCAATGCTGATCGTTTGGCCTCCATCTGTCAGGTTCCTGGGCCTGCCTCTTCCATTTGGGAAAACTCCAGAAGGGTACAGGGGTACCTACAACCCAAGAACTAAGGTGGCTGGAATGAGAAGGAATGGAAACTCCACGCCTACCAGCCCTATTCAGATCAACGAGCGTCTGCGACCGCAGGTCATCGTGGAGGCTTTTGCCACTGTCTTGCTCCAGCTGGATCTGCTTGACCCTCACCGTCTTGGTGATCTCACGCTGCTGCTTCCCCACACAGATGCTGTATGCCAAGTTCCCATTCACAGCGATCGGGAGCCTCTGCTGGGTGATTTGGTAGCCTGCCTGCACACAAACATGGCTTACATGGTCACTAGTCCATATGTATAAGCTAAGATTCAGTTTGCTATTCCTTCTTTATAAAAATATTTTATTTTTTTATTTGAGAGACAGAAAGGCAGACTCCCATCTACTGGTTCACTCTCCAGATGCCTGAAGGTACCCTTGGCCAGAGCTGACCCTAGGAGCCAGGAATGCAATCCAGCTCTCCCATATGGGTGGCAGAGATCCAATCAATTGCTTGAGCCATTATCACTACCTCCAGGGTCTGCATTAGCAGGAAGTTAAGAGTCTGGAGCTAGAGCCGGGCACTGAATCCAGGCACTCTTCCCACAGGAGATGTGGGTTTTTTAACTGCTAGGCCAAAAACATCCACCCCCACTGTTCCTTTTAATGTCCTGCAGCTACAGGCTTACTTACAACAAAAACAATAAAAAAGAAGAGGAGAGAAAGCAAAAGGAGAAGAAATTTGGGATCATGCACTGCCATCATGATTTAGCGTGGCTTCTTCTGACTTCCCCATCACCCTCTTAGCCTCTCTAACACTCACCATCCCCAGTGGCACCACGAATCCTACCTTCCTTACCCAAGTGCCATTCTAGGGAATAACAATAATATCCTTGTCAAGGGCCCCTAAGAAAAGAATTTATTGTTTCCCTTTAGTTCATTAGCCTAAACTCTGCATCTCATTACATCTCTTCACAGACCTGCCTTACTAAGAAATGCTGGCCAAGCACTTTGCCTTCTACTCTCAACAGGGCCAACGGCAGTTGCTAGTGCGTTGAAGCCTGTTTTCTTTCTGCTCTTTCAGCTAACCAGTCGGGCCAGCTGCCCTCCTTGACCCAACCTGCCTGGCTCTTAGTGTCGCTCCCCCTCTTCGTGGAGGAACGACACTAGACCCTGCACTGTTCTTTTGTCTGCTCGGCCCTTCCCGGGTTTGCTGCTGGTTCTTCCCGGGTTGGCTACCGTCCCTTCCACCTCCGTGGAAGGGCGGTTCCCCCTGCCACTTTCCCCACTTCCGCGGGGGAGCGGCACACCGCCGGCCGGCTCTCTCGGGGGCTGCTCAGATGTTCCTCAGGTGTTCCTGGTGCATGTTGTCTCTCTCCTCCTTTATAGTCCTCTTCCACCAATCCCAACTCTGCTACCCACACGCCGAGTACGCTGCTCTCCTCCAATCAGGAGCAGGTCCTGCTGTTTGTTGGTTGAACTGGAGGCAGCTGTGTAGAAGCTGTTTCCTCCTCTCCCAGCGCCATATTGTGGGAGAGCAGATGCATAGAATAAGTCTTAATTCCAGTAACTTAGTCTAGTCCGAGTTGCTCCCCACACTTAGTCAGAACATGCTGCGACACTCATACTCGGCTAATGGAAAGCATGGAGTATGAAAACACTGAGGGATGCTGCAAAGACTCCCTCACTTTTTTCTAAGTGGAAAGGAAGAACTATGAAATGCACACATGCATCAACACACGCTAAAGCGATAGCAGGTCAACTGGAAGAACTGGAGAAGAACAATAGAGAATAATGGCTCAAAGCATTTACGGCACTTGCTAAGTCCTGGACACTGTTTGTACATTATACTCATTGAAGGCTGTGACAACCCTCTGAAGAGGTACAAGGCACAGAGGGGGCTCAGGGCCTTGCCCAAGTCACAGAGCTAGTAAGTCTCAGTGTCTGCATGTGAACTCAGCCTGGCTCCAGAGGCTGTGCTGCCAGCCACTGGGCTAGCCATCAGTTTTTAACTTTAACTGCACTGAAGCACAGTAGACTTGTCAGAACACAGACTGCTGGGGCAAGCACTGTGGCACAGCAGGTTAAGCCACTGCTAGGGACGCCCACATCCCACATTCCCACATCAGAGTGCCTGTTCGAATCCCAGTTCCTCTACTTCCAACACAACTTCCTGCTAATGCATTTTGGGAAGTAGCGGGTGATGGCCTGAGTGTTTAGGCCCCTGCACCAGTGTGAGAGACCCAGATGGAGTTCAGGGCTCTTGGCTTCAAACTGGCCCAGTCCTGGCTATTGTGGGTATTTGGAGAGTAAACCAGTGAATGGAAGATATCCGGCCCTATCCCCCACCCCACCACCTTTCAAGATGAAAATATGTAAATAAACATTAAAACACACTTACATATACATGCACACACAATTGCTTGGTCCTGACTCATGCGTTTCTGATTCAGTAGGTCTGGAGTGGGGCCTGGGGTTTTGTTATTTCTAACAAGTTCCCAGGGGCCTGCCCTTTGAGAATCCCATGGGAAGCAGACTTCTAGGCAGAGACAGGCAGTCTCGATGTGTACAACTGAACTCTGAGGGAGGGTTGCCAGGAGGCCCAGTTTGATCTGAAACCATGGATGCTCTTTCAACATGAGAATGTGCTATGCACCTCTTGGCAACACCAGCTCTGGATTTTCTATACTCTCTGGACCAGCAAGGACAGACAGCCACGGCTAACCAAACCATCTCGTTTTAGTCACAGATTAATGAGACCCCCCCATTGTAAATCAACTCTTAAAAGAGGAAGCAAGGCAGCTGAGTGCTCTCCACCACCACCAAGCAGAATTTGCTGAAGGGCTGGGGGCCCAAGGGGAAAAGCAGCAGCCATGGGGAGTACCCAGGTCCTGCTCCTCTCTCTTATTTCAGGCCTGCTCTCATCCACTAACAGCTCACCCCAACCTTCAGTGCAAGCAGCAGGAGGTGGAGCCACATTGTCCCTATTGCTTTTCTAAACCTAAGGGAGAGTCACATTTGCTATTACAGGCTCAGATCAAATGAACTACTACTTGGGGAAACCCATTCACCATTTTAAATTTGTTTCAGCTTAATATTATGAAAAACTGGCTCTCTTGAGCTTAAAAGAAAAAAAAAACTTTCTAATTTTAAGAAAAAAAAAGTAGGTACATACTGAGTTTCCTGCTCAGCCAATTACCGTTGTTAGTTCAGGTTTCTGGTTCATGTTTCTGCTTACTACTGTCCACTTACTCGCTCCTTGTGAGATGACAGCAATGTCTCCAAAGGAGACAGCCCTATTATTGGAAACTTCAACTTAAAAGAGAGGTGCTCTCACTGCATCCGCAGAGCTACAGTGTGCATTTGTCGTCGCATCAGCCAGAGTTCGCTTTTGTCCTAACAGGCAATTAGCAACAAACGCCACGGTTGGGCTGAGCCAGAGAAGGCTGGCTCCTCCTGGTCCCCGTTCAATTAAGAGCGAGCCACCAGAAGCATGAGGCTAAGCAAGGAGTCAGCAATCAGGACAACTGCATCCAATCTCACAAGCATCAGGGGGCACCTGCCTTCGGCAGGGCCAGCCAGTGCTTCCCGCCGCAGGGGGAGGAGGGGACACAGCGGTGACCGCAAGCAAGGCCGGGCCTCGGTCTCACTGCAGGGCCCCCACGGCAGGGCTGGCCCAGCACTGAGCGCTCCCAGAGGGCTGCGGCACAAGGCCTAAGTACTCACAGGGAGGTCTGCGTAGAAGTAGTGCTTCCTGTCAAACAGGGACTTCTGGTTGATGTGGCAGTTCAGAGCCAGGCCTGTCATCACCGCTGCCTCCACACAGCGCCTGTTGAGAACCTGTGGACACGACACACGGTGCCTCTCAGAATCACGGGCTGAACCACTGCTTCCCCCACCCCGACAGCTACTCCAAGGCTTCCGCTGGGCCCTTCAGTGGGCATCACCCGGGCTTCTCGGGTGGGCGGCTGCACTTCCTCAGCACACTCTGTGAATCAGGAAAATGCACGCAACAGCAGGCCCCACTGGGGACCTTTTCCCCCAATGCCTGGCATCAACGTTAACAGAAGAGCACCAGAAATTCTGTGCAGAGTGGCCTTCTTGTGGAACAAGTCTAAGCTCCCCCTCACAGACAGAACCAAGAGCAGCGAGAATACTTGCTGGGAGGCACGGGTTTCCAAGAACAGGAGCCACAAACAGCCCTGGGGAGGTCTGAAACGGCAAGGCTCAGGCAGGCCCCCCGAGCCTGAGGGGAGCTGCTTCCCTGTGATACGGGAAGAACAAATTCTGAAATCTACAGGGCTTGGGAAAGGGCAACAACGGGCTCCTAGCTTGCAGCACCCACACCTGGCCAACTCCCGCAAAGGGGCTCTGAGCGCCTGCCCCTCCACAGCTGACTGCCCTGGGCTGCTGGCCTCGCCGCAATCTTGGAAGACGAATCTGTCTTGCTCGGCTATTTCAGATACAGACAGACCAAGATCCAGAGAGACTGAGAGCCTTGCCCAGGTTCCTGAGGCTGGCACATGGTGGAACTGGCTCGAGAGCCTACCCGTGCCCTGCCTAGAGGCGGCAAACAGGGCCAAATGGCTCATAGAGAGGCTCTCTGGGCAGGGATGATGAGTGATTAAATACGCAGGTTTTAAAAACAAATGTGACAGGGGCTGGCAATGTGGCGCAGAGGATAAAGTCACCACCTGCAACACTAGCATCCCATATGGGCACCAGCTCGTGTCCCGGCTGTTCTACTTCAGATCCAGCTCCCTGCTAATGTACCTGGGAAAGCAGCAGAGGATGGCCCAAGTGCTTGGGTCCCTGCACCCATGTGGGAGACCTGGAAGAAGCTCCCGGCTTTGGCCTGACCCAGCCCTGGCCATTGCAGTCATCTGGGGTGTAGACCAGCGGATAGATCTGACTTTAAAATACATTTTAAAAAAAACCTTAAAAATAAAAGCAAACTTGACAGAGGGTATGGGGCATGACAACTTACTGCAACATAAAGCCTCCCAAAGAAAACCTACAATAATGCCCCTCTAAGTGGCAACATGACACCCCTGGTCTTCAGAATGCCGGCTGGGAAACGGAGCCATCTCACAGCTCCTATTTGGAGTTCTTCCTTCTGGGTCTAATAATATTGTCAGCTCTGCAGTAATAATGGTTTTCAAGAAGTGATGTGTGTGGGGAACGGGATGCTCTAATTATTGATGTTTTCACTTGTGAATGTTTGGCATTCTGCTGAACGGTTGTTACTGCATACAAATATAGCCGGGGGGGGGGGGGGGGATCTGGCCAAATCCAAGCCTGGTGACTGGGGTCAAGGCACGCACACAGTGAAGCTGGCAGCCTGGCAGCTTGGGGCCGGCCGGCTGTGGTGTGGGCTCCGGGCGCCCTGGCCTGCACCACTTCCACCTTCTCACTGGCAAGGCTCTCCCAACCACTGCTGTCTCTTTCGTTTCAGTCCTGTCTACCCCTTCAAGGCCAACCTGCTCCTTCTTTCTAGGCAACTGCAGAAGCCGGGTGGTTTCGTCGTTTGCTTTTGAGCATGCATAATAACTCCTGTGCCTGACGCCGGGAGGGAGGGAGAGTGAGGAACTGCAGGTGATCACAGACTCTGCTCTCACTGTGCCTGCTTGCTTGCACACAAGCACACAGGCACTTGATAAACCATCAATTTCCAAAGAATAAGAATGCAGTAAAACACACAAACATCACAGCGATATTGAATATACTTTAATCTTTTTTTGATGATTTAGAAGGCTTGAAGTACTTCAGGGTCAGAATTATAAGCATCAATCACCACCACAGTACAGTTGCACAGAGGGGCTAGTAAACAGAGTGCCAGTTAAAAGAATGCCAAGAAAAAAGAATTTATGATGATCTTAGGCAAGCTGCTTGTGACAGATGGAGGTCCGGGTCAGCATGTTTTCAGGATAGGATGCAGAACTGGAAAATCCAACTCGGGCTGCCATCATTCCAAAAAAATTTCTCCAGGCTTCATAATGTTTTACACAATAGGAGTACAGTGATAAAGCGGACTCTGTCCCTGCCCTCAGTGACTCTGCAATTGTGACATCAACTTGGCCAGCATCTCAGGTGTCCTTTTCCGGTTTGTCTTCCATATCAGGTGATTCAGCTAAAGATGCAATCTTGTAGCATTCTGTGGTCTAAAGTCCCTCAGCCCCCCCCCCCCAATGCCCCAAAGGCAAAGGCCTGGGTTGTCATCACTGCCCTCCTGTCTATGTCTTCAATTTCATCTCTAGCCACAGCCCCGCCCACCCACCAGCGGTCAATCTGATCTGACTCTCCCTATACTTATTCCCTTTACAATCTAATTGGCATGTCACCACCTTGCTGAAGCCTTTTGGATTATCCTGTGTACTTCCATGCAGTTCCATTGAGATGCTTTATAAAAATAAAAAAAATATTTTTATTTATTTGAGAGGCAGAGTTACAGAGAGAGAGAGAGGAGGGACAGAGAGAAAGGTCTTCCAGCCACAGGTGCACTCCTCAAATGGCCCCAACAGCCGAAGCTGGGACGATCCAAAGCCAGGAGCCAGAGGCTTCCTTGGGGTCTCCCACACAGGTGCAGGGGCCCAAGCACTTGGGTATCTTCTACTACTTTCCCAGGCCATAAGCAGAGAGCTGGGCGACTTCCCTGGCCCCCGCTCTTTTGGGACCGGGGAACCTCGCCCGGGAGCGGAACCCCAATAAAAGCCTGTGAATGAATTGATTCGTCTGCCTGGGAAGATTTGTTACGCACCGGACACCTTACAGATGGTGCCAAAACCCGGGAGCTGAGGTTGCGAGCCTGCCCTTTCTGAGTTTGAGGCCCCCTTGCTTCTTGAACCTGTCTGGTGCCCCAGGTTGACTACGGACCATGCTTGACCAACTCCTCCCTTGCTCTCCCTCCCTCCTCTGGGTTGGCCCAGTCTCTGCGATCTCTGGCTAGCTCTCCGTCCGGACAGAGACCTCCAAATCGTGCGCACGTGGCCTCTGTTCTCTCTGCTGTTTAGCCTCCCAGTGGCTGTTGGAGACATCCCACCGCTGGCTTGGCCCCGTGGACTGACCTCTAATCCATCTGCTGAAGTCCGGGACAAGGGGACGCCTTGACCGAATTTCAGTAGATCCGGGCTACTGGGGAGACCATGGGATCTGGCCAATCCTGAGGGTGGGACTCAACATGCCCTCTGGCCTGCCTCCTAAAGAACTTGAATAAAGTGGGACTGGCCCAGGACCTAAATGCCTAATCTTCTACTCCACCCAGGCATGGCCTAATTACCTTGAGAATTTCTGCTGCAGGGAGAGAAAATGGTCAGAGGTCCCTATGTCCAGGCTTTCTGAGACCTCCGCTCCTGTCCTATCCTCTTCTCCTCTAATTTCCTCTCTGCCTGCTCCACAGCCCAGGTCTTGCTGGCCAAGATCGGGCCCCCACCGCCTAAGGACGCCTCTTCTGTGTTATTGCCAAACTCTCCACCCTCCACCTTTTCAGACCCTCCTGAGTTCCTGGGGATCCCACAGCTAGCCAGGAACCTCCCACCCCCATATGTGCATTCTTCCGCCCTGCCCCACCCCATGTCCTGAAAAAAATAAATAAATAAAATAAAATAAAAGAGAGCTGGATCGGAAGTGGAGCAGCCGGGACTAGAACCAGTGCCCATATGGGATGGTGGCACTGCAGTAGGAGGCTTAGCCTACTATGCCACAGAGCCAGCCTCTCACTGAGATGCTTTTTATCACAGTAGAAGGATCTACTTATATATATTTTCATACGACTGTAAGTTTCATGAGGACACGAACTGTCTGTTCCTTTGTATACTTGGAGTCTAATAAAGAGCCTGAAAAGCAGCAGTACTCAGTACTCAATCCACGATGAACTCAGGTGAGGAGGGAGGTGACAGGTCTTCGGAGAAGGTCTCAGAGAGGCAGTGACCTCCCAGTCTACACTAAGGTGCTGTTACCTGTGACCTGCTGGTCTTCAAATTTGTGTCTAAAAATGTGCTCAAGTGACAATTAATTATGGCTGATGGGATCAGAGGTAATCTGAAAACTCAAAAGACTGATTTGTCCTGAAGGAGGCAGGCTCCAGAGTTTTCTTTGTGATTAACGTAAGTGACTACGAAGGACCTCAGGGCTGACCGGAATTGCTGTCAGGTGGAAGGAAGGCTAGGTTCTCGGCACTCATAAGGCACGCATTCCCAATGAGCTGGTGGAGACATCTCTCTGGCTTCAGTTGTGATCAACAGTGAGTTACGGTGGTGCGCTGGTATCCTGTCAGGACGTGTGCTGTGCACACCACATACATGTATACTTAACCTTCTCTGTGACCCTAGGGTAGCTGCTGGCATGGTCCTCATTTCCAGATAACGAAGGGAAGCAGGGGCTAAGCAGTTTGGCCAAGATGACATATACGCAGAGCCTTTAGACAATTTGTGGAAAATGGAATTAAAAAATAAGCTTATTTTGGTGCAAATACATTTGGAAATCCATGGTTTTTTTTTTTTTAAATAATACGCATTTTCCACAAATGCTCTGAAGACCATCTCATACAGTAAGTGGCACAGACAGGAAGTTGGACCCAGGACCCAGAACCCAGGCTCCCCGTCACCATCAAAGAACAAAGTGAGTTTGTTATCAAGAATAGTAACACCTGGTGACAACTCCAGAGCCGTGCCTTAAACCAAACCCCACTGCAGTCTGTTTAAGGCAGATACTGGGTCTGAGGTTTTTCTTGCCAGGTCCTGTTTCCATAGGTCAGCTTCCAGGTGCTGAGCTCCCAGAGGGCAAGCTCTGTGTTCTCTGGACTTGGTGGAACACTCTGCACCGTCTCTGCTGTGCGCAGGGCT